ACCTCATGTTTTTGGGAGAATTGTATTGTACAGGTCATTGTACAGGGCTGCACAGTGGCTTGGTGGTTAGCTCCAACGCCTCGCAGCTAGATGATCCCCAGGTCGTGTCTCTGTTAGGACGCCTGGGTGGAGTTTACATGTCCTCCCTGTGCAGTGTGGGTTCTCTTCGGGTTCTCCAGCTTACTCCCACAGTCCAAAACACATTCTGAGGTTAATTTATGTGTGTCTAAATTGTCCATAGGTGTGAATGTGAGTGTGCTTGGTTGTCTGTCTCTAAGTGTAGCCCTGTGATAGACTGGTGGCCTGTCCAGGGTGTCCCCTGCCTTCACCCTGAGTCAGCTGGGATAGGCTCAGAATCTCTTTATTGTCATTGTACAAGAAGCACAACAAAATTTGAGTTAACAGCTCTCGTAGGCAGTTCAAAACAACAGGATAAAAGGGACGAAGAACAGAAAAAAATAGAATATAGAATAAAAATTATTAATATAAAATAAAAAATGAAAAAAAAAAACGCGATATTGCATTCAATAAATTATTGCACTGGGAGTATTGCACCTGGTTTATGAACAGAGATTTTTTCTATTTTGCATTGAAGAATGATTAATGGGAATTTGCGGCATTCAGGGCAACGACAGCTCTTGGGTAGAAGCTGTTCTTTAGTCTGTTTGTCCTTGTCTGTTCCACGTGTGTCAGAGTGTGCAGAGCGGTGGCGATGGTATCCTCCGTAGACCAGTTGGCTCTATTGGCAAACTGGTGGAGGTCAAATGTGGGTGGCAGGCATGAAGTGATGTGACTCCGAACCAGTTTCTCAAATCACTTCATAATGATGGGGGTTAGTGCGACGGCCCGGTAGTCATTGAGACTGCTGATATTGCTCTTTTTTGGCGGACTTTGTGGTGGTGGACTTTAAGCAGGGTTGGATAGGGCACTGGGTCAGGGACTGATTAAAGATGCAGGTGAAAATCCCAGCTTGCTGGTCAGCACAGTCCCTCAGCACCCTCCCTGTCATATCATCAGGTCCTGCAGCTTTCCTCAATCCTCTGCTTGTAGTTTGTCTTGGCTAGAGCGCAGTTGTATAGATCCCTGTCTCCAGACCTGAAAGCACTGTTTCTCTCCCTCAGCAGTTCCTTGACCTCCTTGTTCATCCAGGGCTTCTGGTTGGGAAACACCTGGATGTGCCTATTCACTGTGCTGTGTTAACACAGTGTTGGATGTAGCCTAGTGCTGCTGAAGTGAACACATCCAGGTCCTGATGGCAGAAAATGTCCCAGTCTGTGGTTGCAAAGCAGTCCTGCAGCTACTGAGAGGCACCGTCAGGCCAAGATTTCACAGTCTGTGTTGTGGGAGGTGCTCCCTTCTTCACTGGTTTGTATGTTGGAATCAGAAGCAGTGACATGTGGTCAGAAGAGCCCAGGTGGGGCAGCTGGGTGGCCTTGTATCCATGCTTGATGTTGGAGTAGGCTTTATCCAGCGTCTTAGCTTCCCTGGTGGCACATTTTATGTGCTGATGAAATCTAGGGAGCGCTACTTTCAAATCAGCATAGTTAAAATCCCCCGCAATCACATGCACTGCTTTTGGGTGGTTGTTCCGTTGCCGGCTGAGAGCATTGTCCAAGTGGCTAAGAGCCATGCTAGCGTTACCATTGGATGGAATGTATACGGCAGTCACCATGACAACGGTAAACTCACAAGAACAAGAACCTGCATCTAACTGTGGTAAATTCCAGGTCTGCTGAGCAGTGCCTGTCAGTAACAGGGGCATTTGTGCACCAGCTGTTGTCCACATAGATGCAGAGCCCCCCTCCCTTGCTCTTACTGGAGTCGCAGCTCTCGTCAAGTCTATATGCTGTGCGGCCTGCTAGCTCGATAGCTGTGTCCGGAATGGATGAGTGGAGCCAGGTCTCCATGATCAGCAGAATGCAGCACTCCCGAACAATACTGTTTTCTGCCAGCTTCAGCTCATCCACCTTATTTGCGAGGGATCTGGTATTTGATATTTAAGAAATATTTTGCTTTACTGAGGACTGAAATACTTCTGGATAACTGAGCTTGAACATGTTGAATGTGAGGTTTCCAGCAGATCTTGTGGTCGATCATCACCCCCAGAAACTAAATTTCTTTAAGTCTATCCACATTTACACCTTTTATCACAACTTGTACGTCACTGTTCCCCTTATGATTCCCAAATAGCATAAATTTTGTTTTGTCAAATTTAATGATAGTTTATTTATATCAAACCGCCTTTTTAATTTGTTCAATTCTGAGGTGATTTCCTCCTCAAGGTGTTGTAAATTCTCCCCTGTTCAGAAAATATTAGTATCATCAGCAAACAATACAAATTGTAGTATTTTTGAGACTTTACATATATCATTTATGTGTAGAATAATGAGTTTCGGTCCCAGTGCTGACCCCTGGGGGACACCACAAACAATGTCCATGCATGATGAATGAAAGTCACTTATTCTTACAAATTGTTGCCTGTTTCTTAAGTAACTTTTAATCGGGTGTAAAATCACTCCCCTGATCCCATAACGCTCCAGTTTCTTGAATAACATTTCATGATTTATGGTGTCAAATGCTTTTTTAAGGTCAATAAACACCCCAACTGCAAATTTCTTTTTGTCTATGAGGACTGCCAATGAAGTGGATCTTTGTGATCTGAATCCATGTTGACTTTCACAAAGCAGTTTGTGTATATCAATGAATTTGTTCAGTCTATTTTTAAAAAAAAAAACAGTTTCTCGAAGATTTTGGAAAATAATAAAAATAAATGGAAAAATCTGACTGACAGTGCATAAAATATCAAACGACGCTGAAAGATTCACGTTGCCTGACGTACCGACAGGTGCGAACAGGAAACAATGCTCTGAACAGGAAACAATGATGCTGGAACAGGAAACAATGATGCTTTCAGTGTCAGTTTTCAGTAAGACTGAACACCACCAATAGTTATCTCATCACTGGTGGAGAGTTGACCATTTGCTCCATGATTGTCTCTAATGAGAGAACTTTGAACACCAAGGAAGTGTTCTTGCCATTTTTTTCTGGTGTTAATGTTTTACACCATTAGAGTTCAATAGGTAGCACTATCATAGCGGTATAATGTTAACACTTTCAAAAGTATTAATTTAACACTTTATCAGTGATTCCCCTATAAACCCTAGAAAAGTGTTAATTTAGACTCTGACAGTGTTAAATTTGTGGTTTCAAATTTGGAGTGTACTACTTCAGTGATGGTGCTCTGTCACAAGATAAAAACCACAAGAACTTCACCAATTGGCAGGATTTTGGAGTTTCAGCCAACTGACATTGTGCTGTCACCTCACATGGCAAATCAGCATATAATAGAACTGGTGGAACAGTCAAGAGGTGTGTTGCAAGAGCAAGCTTGCAACCAAATTCTAACGCCTGCAGATTTATTTACCGGGGTGACAACAACAAATATTTGTGGTATCCATTTCATATGAATTGCAAAGGAGTCTGTTTTGACTACAGCAGAAAAGTTAACTGAAAGATTTATATCACCACATCATCTGCTTACAGCTTATCTGATATGACACCATGTGAATATGTTACCTGCATTTACGATGGACAGTAGTGGGTAGGAAGTGTGCAGGCAATATCTGATGAGGAGCACAATGTTGAGGTGCACTTCATGTACCCTAATGGTCCTGCAAAGTCCTTCTTTTGGCATAAGAGGGAAGTTATGGGTACCTGTCTGTCATGTCATCTGTAAAATCAATGTTGCAGCGCTGATGACACAGACACTAATACAACTAGATTTATTGGCATCAAATGACCCTGTGGTGCAGGTAGGAGTTTGCCTACAGCTAAATGGTTTTCTTTGTGCATGTACAAAACTGCTGCATTATTTGGTCACATTAACTTCACCGCAAGTACACACAATGCTGGAAATTAGCCCGGCTTCATTTGTCACACATCAGGTTCTTTGAAAATTTGTCCAGCAAAACTGAAAAAAAGATCCCAATTTGAATTTTTTCCTATGACAAGTTTGGAGCATTCTCTTTCAAAGGACTGTTATTACAATTATGTGTTTGTATGACCTACCATTCATTGACAATTAGCGCGTAAATTTTTAGTGAAATCATGATACTTACCGTTTTTCAGGGTCAGTATCTCAGAGACTGTATGTGTCAACTTCATGAAATTTCAGACTTCCATTGCAAATCCTGTCTGTTTGGCTGTACAAAGATGGTCTCAAGTGTAAATATTTCCTTACATTGAACAGGCCATAGAATCTCAGCAAATGCATTGAGGTACCTGTAATGTGGGGTTTAATACCTCTAGCATAGGTAAACGTGTTCTCAAATTTGAAGTCTGTACTTTAAATACTTCTTGAGATATTTTAATCCAAAGTTAGAGCCTCATCACAAATTTTCCAAAAACTGCAAAAAAAAGAAAGAAGTTTTATCATTTTTTTGTAGTAAAAACTATTACAGTTGTTATCTTAAAATCTTGATGGTAATCTTCCATCTTCAAACTTTTTCAACCCAATCCAAGATGATCATGCAGGAACCATCTGGTGAATTGAGGTGGAATGACCCCACAGCTAAGCTGAAGGTCTTCACGAGCCTTGCTATCTCAGAGATGCTACAACCCAGTCATCTGACCAGAACCATTTGGCCTTTTCAAAGTCAAAGGTCTTTACAAATACCCTTTCCCTGCACATTTAACACACTGACTTTGAGAACCTATTGTTCATTTACTATCTAAAATATCATAGACCTTGATAATGTTGCACTGTGATAGTGTTATAGGATGATCAATGTTATTCTCTTTGTATGTGAGTAGGCAGAATATCTCAGGTGTGCATACAATTATTTTTTGGCATTCCATCACCAGATGGAGACCCCTAATGCGGGCAGCAAAATGGCTGTTCAAGGTTGCTAATTTCTGTTGTAACCCTAGTAACTCTTTGTGACTTGTTGGGATAACACTGTGTCCTAATTCGTCTCAAGGAGTGAGGGGAGGTTAGCATATATTGAACAAAAGAAAATTTATTCCAGCAACATCAAAACAACGTGGAAACAGTTGTTGCTTTAAAACCTTCAATAATAGAAAAAAAAGTAAACAACAATAACAGAAATTGTCCTCTCACAGCGTATAGCTGTTCTTGTATTAAAGTTCAGTGAATCAAGTCAAAAGAGTTTAATCCACATCCAGGTCAGTCAAAGTTGATTTGTGTACATGTGTGTGCTACCCGGGTAGTGTGTGTGTAAAGAACTGTTACTGCGCGCGGTTCAGGCTCCTCTCCAGGTATGTGCACTTCTCCAGCAGGTGATGAGAGTGGAGGATTAACGTCCCCTTCAACTCCGCCACGCCTCTGACGGGAAACCTGGTTGAAACCGCTGATGATTCGACGCAGATCCAGCACTCAGCAGACCAAAAAAAAAACCAATCTGCATAGCAGAGCACCAATCATGAATTTCTGTACAGAATTATATCTCTTTTTCTTAAGTGTAACTAACAATACTGCTCACAAAACAATATGCAACTGTAGCATGAGATATTAAGACCTCAAGTCACCATTAGTGTGCCATTTTTTTAACAGTACTATAGGAATCATGTTACACAAATTAATTCTATTCTCCTCTCAATCATGTTTCTCTTTTACATTCACAAAATACATCTTTCCTTATTTCAAAATGAATTTAAACACACTTAACATATATAAGAACATTTACAATCAACTCCGATTGGTTTTATGGCATAACTATTTAACATCCCACGTTCATAAACTGAAAATGCACATCTATCTATTTGCCGCTAGCAACGTAGCATCGCGCGTCTCGATTAGCCGTTAGCGACTTAGCATCGTACGTCTATCCCTACAAGACAGCACAACAACTCACCGGAGTCTTCATTAATGGAAAAAAGAACAAAACATCCGCTCTGTCTGGGCACCTCCCTGGGAAACTCAGAAACACACAGTTCTGTAACTACGAAAAAATACAGTGCAGTCCTCCCACAAAGCATCGGCCATTCCTTTCTTGCTGTCTTCTTCCCAGAATGCCATGCACACAGGTCCAAAGTCCTTCCAGTCACATAAAGCGCCCTCCTCTTGTCACACAAAGAAATTACAATCATGCCTCCTTCATTAATTTACACAAAAAAAAAACGAACTGTTCAATATGAATTCAAATGAAATACATTAAATTAATCCACTGCATTTTTAAGGGGGTTACATCCACCCGCCCTTAATTGGCATGCGTCTCTGCATGACAACACACTTAAACATCAATAACTGGGCTTGTATAAGAGGAAGGTGAACGACTTGGTTTAATGGCCAAGTCAAGGGCTTCTGTGAAAACTTTGTCCAGACTGTGCAGTATAGAGTGCATGACCAGAGTCAAGGGGTGTCCAAGGCGTTGGTATGATAATCTGTCAGGCTCTCTTCTAGTTCTGGTTGGCCATCTGGCCTCCAGTTCTCCTTCATTCTGAACAGAACTGGTATCAGTCATTCCAATCTCCTCTCTGAAGTTGTCTCCTTTGCTCTCCCTCGTTGCTGTCTGATTTTCCAGTTCTTTGTTGTCAGTTTCCTTTTCAGGTTCTCCAGTGACTGGTTCATTAGGTACTGATAGACCCTCATCCACATTTAAGTGAGCAGGTATGTCTATTTCCTCCACAGGTAAATTTACATCATCGACAGGTAAGGGGTCGGCAGGCAAGTCAATATCCACCTCTGCTTCCACACATGGGACCTGGGATGTGATTGAGTGTTTCTCCTTTTCCTCTTGTTGGGGATGGAATTCTCTAGCACTCGGGTTAAGATTTGACCCTTCCAGGTTCACATCCAAGTTCAAGGGAGGCTTAATCTTTGTTCTGGGAATGGGAATGTCATGCACAACAGTGAATGATGGGTAGGTAACTTCACCTTGACTTTCTGATGAATAGAGCAATTCCACCTCTTCATCACTATCATGCAGATGTTCCACCTCCTCGACTTCAGGTACTGGATTTCTCTGAGAGGTTCTGGCAATTGTCTCCTTCCTGCTTTTCTGACAGATGTCATCGACTTGAGCTGGTTCTGAAGGTGCGAGGAACCCACAAGGTAAGAGCAAATCTCGATGTAAGGTCCTCTCAGGGCCTTCGGAGGTCAGTGGAGCCACCACATACACAGGGGAGTCGCAGATATGTTTCACCACCTTGTAGACCGTCTGACTCCACTTATCCGCAATCTTGTGTTTTCCTCGTATCCCGACATTTTTCACAAGGACACGGTCTCCAACTTGTAAAGTGGATTCTCTGACCTTCAAGTCGTACCTCTGTTTGTTGCGAAGAGCAGTCATGTCACTGTGCTCAACAGCCAGTCTGTAACTCTCCTCCAGTGTTTCCTGAAGCTTCTTCACATACTCACTGTGAGTGACTTTCCTCTGTCCTTCAGGATTTAATCCGAAAGCCACGTCAATTGGCAGATTTGGTTGTCTCCCATACATTAGTTGATATGGGGAGAATCCAGTGGTGTCATTTTTTGTGCAATTATAGGCGTGGACTAATGGCGGCACATGGTCACGCCACTTCACTTTATCCACTTCTTCAAGGGTTCCGAGCATCGCGAGCAGGGTCCGGTTGAAACGCTCTACCGGGTTGCCACGCGGATGGTAAGGCGTCGTCCTTGATTTCTTTATTTCCAGGAGGTCACAGAGGTTCTTGATGACAGCAGATTCAAAATTGCGGCCTTGGTCGCTATGTAAGCGCTCAGGTATGCCGTAGTGCACAAGGAAGTTACTCCATAGAGCTTTGGCTACCGTCTTCTCCTTCTGATCAGGAGTAGGTACTGCAACTGCATACTTTGTGAAGTGGTCAGTGATCACAAGTATGTTCTTCGTGCCATGACCATCTGGTTCCAAGGAGAGATAGTCCATGCACACCAACTCAAGTGGCCGGCTGGTCTTGATGTTGACAAGAGGGGCTGTTTTCTCTGCCCTTGCCTTACGTCGCAGACACCTTTCACATCTCCTGATTTTCTCCTCAACCTCTAAACTCATCCTTGGCCAATAGAACCGTGCACGCACCAGATCTACTGTCCTCTCATATCCCAAATGACCAACGTCATCATGGAGACTCATCAGCGCCATCTGTCTGTATTTCTTCGGGAGAACGAGCTGGAAGGTAGGTTGATCCTCACCTTTGCACTTCCTATACAGGACCTCATCACTCAATATCAGCCGGTCTTGAACTCTGAGCAGCAACTGCACGTCTCTTTCCTCTTTCTGCCGGAGACGATAAGTGAGACGCTTACCTGCTCTGACAATGTCCATCACTCTGCTGATTGCAGGATCACTTCTCTGCTCCACAGCCCAATCCTGCTGAGACAGTCTGGGAAGTGTAGTGGATCCAGGAAGCAGGTCAGCTTGAGCATATTCAGGGCAGATAGCACGTTCATCAATGGCTAGACACTCCACAATAGCAGGTAAGTGACCGCTTCCTTCCTCAGGTTCAGTGAATTTGTCCTGCTGATGTCTCTCACAGATGGCTTTGACAGCCGCTTTAGGAAAAGTTTCCTCATTTCCCTCCTTCAGAAATTTCGACATAAACTGCCGCACTCGTTCATTCTCAACTGCTGCGCTATCATCAACTTCTGCAGGTGTGTGTGGGCGTCTTGATAACCCATCAGCATCCTGGTTCTTCTTGCCAGCCCTGTATTTGATGTTGAAATTGAAGTTGGACAGGTCAGCAAGCCAGCGATGACCACAGGCATCTAGCTTTGCGGAGGTCAAGACGTACGTCAAAGGGTTATTGTCAGTTAGCACATCGAACTCCACTCCATAGAGGTAATCTGCGAATTTATCTGTGATTGCCCACTTGAGGCTCAGGAACTCAAGCTTGTGAGTGGGATATCTGCGCTCACAATTGGATAACCCTCGACTGGCATAAGCAATGACCTTCAGCTGACCATCTTGTTCCTGGTACAGCGCGGCTCCAAGTCCATGCAAGCTAGCATCTGTGTGGAGTATATATGGCTTCTTGGAGTCCGCAAACCCCAGGACAGGTGCTGTTGTCAACCGTTCAATGAGGGTTTTGAATGCCTCCTCACATGAGGGTGTCCATTTGTCGTTGAACGGTTTCTTTAGGTCGGCATTTACGAATGACCTTTGACCTTTTGCTGTGTTCTCATGTTTCTTTTTCTTTGCAGAGACATATCCAGCTGTCAGATCATTTAGAGGCTTTGCGATTTTGGAGTAGTCTCTGACAAACCTTCGATAGTAGCCTGTGAATCCGAGGAACGACTTCAACTCGGAGATGTTGTTCGGGCGGGGCCATGAGGTAAGTGCTGTGATCTTATCAGGGTCGGTCTCCACACCATTTTCTGACACTATGTGCCCAAGATATCGTACAGTCTTCCTGAAGAAATGACATTTCTCTGGTGACAATTTGAGACCGAAGTCTTTTAGTCTGTTTAACACTCTCAAAAGCCGCTCTTCGTGTTCTTCCAGGGTGTTGGAGAACACAATGAGATCGTCTAGGAATACCAGCACTTCTCTGTGATTGAGTGAGCCCATACACTTTTCCATAACTCTCTGGAAGGTGCTTGGAGCATTGGTCACTCCCTGTGGCATCCTATTAAATTCCCAAAAACCCATCGGTGTGACAAAGGCGGTCTTGTGCTTATCTTCTTCCTCCATCTCCACTTGATAATAGCCTGACTTTAAATCCATGACAGAAAACCACTTTGCTCCTGTCAAAGATGCAAACGCCTCCTCGATGTGTGGCAAAGCATAAGCATCTTTAATCGTCTGGCTGTTCAATTTTCTGTAATCCACACATAGGCGAATTTGTCCATTTTTCTTTTTCACAACGACAATTGGTGAAGCGAATGGACTCTCTGACTCCCTTATGATGTTTGCATCGTACAGCTCTTTCAGATGGAGACGAACCGCCTCGTAATCTGATGGATGGATGGGCCTTGCCCTCTGTTTGAAAGGCGTTGGGTCAGAAAGGCGGATCTTGTGCTTTATCGCTGTTGTGTGGCCATAGTCACAATCTCCTCTGGCAAAAACTTCAGGGATTGAATTCAACTTTCTGGTAATCCTGTCTTTCCATTCTTTTGACAACGGAGAATCAGTGAACTCAAACTTGATCAAGTTTTCAAGATCCACTTGACCAGCTGTGAAACACTGGGCCATAGTGTTGGTCTGATTGGAGGTTTGTACTTCTCCTTTAATGTTGTGGGTGGAAGTCAATGGAGAGATGGACAGTGGGATTGAAAGTTCAGCCAGAGTTCGACGGGCTGGGACTACAATGTCATGCGCGGACTCGTTCTTGAGGAGAATGGGGACTTTAAAGGAGGTCTGACGTGGACTCGCCATGATGTAACTGCAAGATATTAAGCCATCTGGCAGACTGACGTTGGTGGGGGGCTCCACCAGAAGAGGTGCACCATGAGTAGTGAAGACATGTCTGGCACGGCCATTTACTGCCATTTTCTTTCCAGCTGGAATGACAATGGTGCTCCTCGACTGCAATTTCACTCTGCCTACTCTCCCATCTTGTTGTGCCTTGCCCAAGTAGATGCTCTGCAGATGTCTGACAAGCGAAGCATACTCACAGTCTGATGAAATTGTTGTTCCTTCTTTGAAACCTTCATACAGGATATCGAGAGTGTTTGTGCCAATGAGAACTGGAACTTCGACACTTGTTCTGGAATCAGGGACAACTAGAGCCAGCGTCGTGACCACCACGGGCTCACCTGTGAAATGTTCTGGGAAAGCTATATCAACTTCAATGCAGCCAAGGTAAGGGACTAGCTGGCCTGCAGCTCCCTCTATATGTAAAAGGTCCTCTATGGGAATGANAATAGGAGGTGGAGGTGGTGGAGGAAGAAGCGGAAGGAGGTGAAGAGGAGGAAGAGGAGGAGGAGGAGGCGTGGTCACAGGAGACTGATGCAGATCCATGGTGGACAGAACCTGGAGTGGATCAGACTGTTGGAGCAGCAGCAGGAATCACAGCTGAGCTGTTTGAACGTTGTCAGGACGTTCCTGGAGAACTCTGGGTTGAGTCTGGAGGACGCTGACGGAAACATCTGCTGGTCGCTGCTTCACAGCTCTGCTCAGAGGTTCTGATCCAACACTGTCTGGGTTCTGCTTGAAACAGAGAAACTAATAACAGGTTAGTAAAAGCCAACCGGTGAGCTCAGAACTAAGTGAAGGCGGGTCTCGATCCGTCGCTCAACAAGCTCAAGGCCACAAATCACAGCCGCTGGTTTTCTGCTTCAGCTCACAGCAGATGTTCTGGACGGATCCGATCCTGTGGTCAGAGACGAAGACGTGAACCGGGTGGTTCTGTGTTTAGTGGACAGTAAAGCAGAGAGGAGGACAGCAGGACTGATCAGACGTCTGAAGGCGTCACCTCAGATGATTCATGTTGTGTTGTTATGTTATCGGTGTTATTACTGCGTTATAGCCGCACTGTTACCGTGTTGTTCTTTTTATTAACAATTTCATGATCATATTAAGACTGTATTGTTATTAATATTATTATTATTGTTATTGTTGTTATTGTTATTATTATTGTTATTGTTCTTGTTGTTGTTGTCGTTGTTGTTGTTGTATTTTATCATTGTGTGACTTTGCTGCTGCAGAAACAACACAGAACCAGAACCTGTTGCTTATCGTCCAACATGGATGCTCCACCACAGGCTGACAGCTAGTTATGGTTCGTTAGTGTTCAAGTTAGTTAGTTAGTGTTAAAGTTAGTGTTGGTTAGTAGGTTAGTGTTAGAGTTAGTTAGTGTTGATTACAGTTCATGTTAAAGTTAAAATTAGTTAGTAGGTTAGTGTTGGTTAGAGCTATTCTTTGTGTTAGAGCTGCTGTTAGTTCAGGTTAGTATAAGTTAGTTAGTGTTAGTTAGAGCTGGTGTTAGTTATGGTTAGGTCTAGTTAGTGTTAGCTAGAGCTGCTGTTAGTTAGGGCTAGTGTTAGTTTGAGCTGCTGTTAGTTAGGGTTAGTGTTAGTTAGTTAGTGTTAGCTAGAGCTGCTGCTAGTTAGGGTTAGTGTTAGTTAGTTATTGTTGGTTAGAGCTGCTGCTAGTTAGGGTTAGTGTTAGTTAGTGTTGGCTAGAGCTGCTGCTAGTTAGGGTTAGTGTGAGTTAGTGTTGGTTAGAGCTGCTG